CCCCAAACAATAAATGTTGGCCTGGATGCGGAGAGAGAGGAACACTCCTACACTGCTGCTGGGACTGCAAACTAGTTCAACCTCTGTGGAAAGCAATATGGAGATACTTCAAAGCAATACAAGTGGATCTACCATTTGATCCAGCAATCCCACTACTGGGCATCTACCCAAAAGATCAAAAGTCACTTTATGAAAAAGACACCTCCACTCTAATATTTATAGCAGCACAATTCACAATTGCAAAGCTGTGGAAACAACCCAAGTGCCCATCAATCATGAGTGGATTAATAAAATGTGGTATATGTATGCCATGGAGTACTATTCAGCTTCAAGAAACTATGGTGATATAGCACATCTTATATTTTCCTGGTTAGAGCTGGAACCCATACTACTAAGTGAAGTATCCCAAGAATGGAAAAATAAGCACCACATGTGCTCACCAGCAAATTGGTATTAACAGATCAACACCTAAGTGGAATAAAATATAGGAATAAAATTTATCGTGAATTGGGCAGGTGGGAGAGGGGAGGAGAGGATGGGTATATACAAACACAATGAGTAAGATGTGCTTTGTCTGGTGGATGGACAGGCTTGAAGCTCTGACTCGAGGGGGGAGGGAAGGCGGGCGGGCATGGGCAATATACATAACCTTAACACTTGTACCCCCATAATACGCCAAAAAAATGTAAAGAAACTTCCTGCGAATTTTATTCTCTACCCTAATAGACTACCCTGGACATACTCTAGGGTAAAGGTCAGCAAATTATGGCCTGTGGGCCAAATGTGGCTTGCCAGTTTTTTTTTTAATAAATAAAGTGTTATTGGAACACAGCCGTACTCATTCATTTTGCACTGCCTATGGCTGCTTTCATGCTGATGAAGAGAACTTATGACTGTCAAAATTGGAAATATTTACTACCTAACCTTTTACAGGAAAAATTTACCAATCTCTGGACCAAACAATCCAATCGAAGGAAAGACTGACAGGATAAAACAACAACAAAAGAAAACACATTTTATATATAGGAATCTATGATCATTGAAAGTAAAAGAATAGAAAAAGATATACCATGTAATCATTAACCAAAAGAAAGTTGATATGGTTCTATTAATATCAAATAGTAGATTTTAAGGTAAGAATTATAAAAGGTAATGAGTAACAATTTATAATGATAAAACAGTCCTTTCAACAGAAGATATAATAAACTGGCATGCACCTGTAAGCAGTTTCCAAATATAACCATTTCTCATTATTCACAGATTACATATTTGTAAATTCACCCATTCACTAAAGTTTATAACCTGAAATCAATACTTGCAGTTATTTTTCAGTCATTTGCAGACTACTACAGAAAGGCATTAATAAAATCTTTGAGTTGCCCAATAGGCATGTTCCCAGCTGCGACTGAACAAGGTAATGTAATGCCATCTTATTTCACCTCTACTACTGTAAACAAGTGACCTTTTCTCAGTCTATTTAGAGCCACATTTATTGAATTTTCATGCTTTTTCTTGGTGATTTCATGTTTTTAAACAGCCCATATTTATAGTGTTGAAGTGTGGTCTAGTGTTCCTAAACACAAGAAGGCTGTTACGCCTCATGGAGAAAATACCTATGTTAGATAAGCTTTGCTCAGGCATTAGTTATGGTGCTGTTCACCATTAGTTCAGTGTTTATTAATCAATAATATTAAATAAGGTGTCTCTAAAGAAAAAGACACATAACACAAAAGTATGTATTACAAAAATGTGACCAGAGGCTTGCTGGAATTTAATCCTATGTTTCCCCTCTGAGCAATAGTTTCAATATGCATCAGTTCAGTGTTTGTAGTGACTTTATGGAATATTACTACTGAGAATACTGACCTTGTTTACCCGCAAATAAGACAGGGTCTTATATTTATTTTTCCTCAGGAAGACACCCTAAGGCTTATTTTCAGGGGACGTGTTATTTTTAAGTATGGTACAACAATCTACATTTATTCAAATATAGTTAAGTCATCTTCTCCTGGAACATCATCATAACTCTCCAAATCTCAAATTCCACCTTGAATTTCTTGTGACTCTATTTCCTTTAGAACCATTGGCCCCAATCTCTCATGCCGAGGAACAGAGCTCTCATTAAATGAGCAGGGCTGGCTTATTTATCAGAGATCCAGTGAGCACTGGGTCCAATCTGCACAGTGGAGCAGAAATTCTCTCTCTGGGCTCAGTAGGAGATTGCTTGCTGAAGCTTTTTCCCTATCCCCTGGTGTTTGTGGGGGTGAGAGAGGCCCACAGTGGTCAGTAAAATGGCAGCCACAGCTTTCCTTCTTCCCCCTGGGCACACACAATACCTAAAGTGGAGCATCACGCACAGGATGGCTGGGACCTGACAGGGGGAGCCGACCTTGTTGGTGGGGCTGCCTGCACCTTTCCCCTCATCTCTGGGATAGTAGCTATGATGGGGCAGATGGGAAGGGCTGCTCATCTTCTTTACTGAAACAACTGGAAAATGACATTTAAAAAACATTACCATTTGTACTAGTATCAAAATAGATCAGATATGTAGAAATAAATCTAATGAAAGATGTCAAAGACTTCACCTCCATCCTGAAAAACTTCCCAGGAGGATTTTCTGTGGAAACTGATAAAAATTTCTATGACAATGCAAAGAATCTAAAACAGTTAATAAATTATGGAAGAAGTAGAACTTGGAGGCCTACACTATCACATTTCATAACTTACTATAAAGCAAGAGTATTATGACAGTGAAGTACTAGAAAAGGATAAAATAAGTGGAAGAGAATACAGTCTAGATTTTGTCTCACTTACATACGGTCACTTGACTGACAAGAGGAAGACTGCTGCAATTCATTGGACGAAGGATGATCTTTTCAACAAACAGTGCTAGAGCAACTGGACGTGCATATGGAAATGTGAACCTTGACACTCAGCTTATATCAAACACAAAGCTAATTCTATGTGGATCAAACTAAAATAATCAAGTATGTAGTAACAATATAGGAGAATATTTTCATGATATTCGAGTAAAGGAGTATCTTTCAAACATGACACACAAAAAATTACCATTAAAGAAAAGACCGATTCTGACCTTTATTACATTTAAGAACTTAGTCATCAAAAGACTATTAAAAAATGAATAGGCAAGCTACAGAATCCCAAACATTAGCAATACATACTTCTAGCATATTCATATAGTGAAATATTGCTCAGCAATAACAGGGAAATATTGAAACACACAGCAAAATTGATGAATCTAAAAAGTAATGGCCAGGCACAGTGGCTCACGCCTATAATCCTAGCACTCTGGGAGGCTGAGGTGGGAGGACTGCTTGAGGTCAGGAGTTCAAGACCAGCCTGAACAAGAATGAGACCCTATCTCTAGAAAAAAATAAAAAAATTAGCTGGGCATTGTGGCACATGCCTGTAGTCCCAACTAATCAGAAGACTTAGGCAGAAGGATCACTTGAGCCCAGGAGTTTGAGGTTATAGTGAGCTGTGATGATGCTACTGCACTCTACTGGGGGCAACAGAGTGAGACTCTGTCTCAAAAAAAAAAAAAAAAAAAGTGTTTATATGAATAGAGAAAGAAGCCAGACCTCCACTTCCCTTGAAAAAGAGCACATACTGTATGATTCCATTTATATGATGTTCAAAAGTGAATTTATCCTTTTTTTTCTAACATGCTAGTTCAGAATAGTGGTTGCCTCTGTAGACAAGTACAGTGGTTATTAACTGGAAATTGGCAGGAAGGAAATTTCAAGGGTGATGAAAATGTTCTCTGTCTTAATTTGGGTGCTAAATTACATGAATATACATATGGAAAAATCCATCCAGTCACACACCTAAGAGTGTACTTATTGGTACTGAAACCATGGCTCAGTAAAAGAACTAAATAAATAAAAGGAAAAAAAGTTCATACCAGATAAAAATTTAACAAAATCTGTATCCAGATTGGGAGGTTAGGAACATATTTATTACATGAGTTGTCTTTCTATATTTTAAAAATTTATCAGTTCCTTACAGGAAGAGGAAATCTAGACATAGGCACATATAGAGGAAAGATGACATGATCATGGACATCCACAAGCAAGGAAAGAGACCTGGAGCAGATCCTTACCTCATAGCTCTCAGAAGGAACCAAACCTGCTGATATTTTGATCTCAGACTTTTGGCCTCCACAATGGTAAGAAAGTAAATTTCTGCTTAAGCCACCAATCAGTCTGTGGTATTTTATTATGGCATCCATAGAAAACTAATACCCCTAGGCTAGTCGTAATATTTATCTCCATCTCCATCTCTTTTATTCCCTAAGAGAAAGTCCAAATTGTAGTGGGTAAAGATTCTTACCGACCTTGCATGCCTTGGTTAGTCTACTCTCAAAATGTAGTAACCTCCTGTACTCTGCAACAATAATACCCCACCCACTCTTCAGGACTGACACAATCATTTTTAACTCTCCATCTTTGATCAACTGAGCCTATACCACCAATCTGTCCTTTCTTGCACAAACTGACAGTTACCTGAAAAACTACATTAATAAAAGCTCCACTTTGGCACTATGTCCTCTACTTTCACTGAGGAAATAGAAGCAACAAATTGCATTTATTTCAGGGCTGTTAGTGGAAATATTTGCACTGTCACTTACATAAAGACCAACAAAGACATTTTTCTCAATGACAATGACTTTAGATTCCATGAGGAATCAGTTTGGTTTAAGCTTCTCAACAATGCAAATCTTTAAACAAATATTGCATGTCTAACTCTCTACAATGGCTATCAGAAAGAATAAAAACTGAACCTCCACTTTGGAAAACCTCTAACATCAGGGACCTACATCTTTCTATGTATCAACTCTGTTGTGTTATTCATCTGCTTTTCTATATCTCCTCTGAATGATTCTGATCCATTTCTAATTCTACTTTTCTATTATAATATATGGACCCCTAAACACCTATAAAATCCATGATTTAAAAAGGTTTTAATAAATAACTTACCTGAGATATGTTCATTTTCTGCTGTTCTTGGAAGAGTGTGGACAACTGTAAAGGACGAGCTGGGGGTAAGGAAAGAGTCATGAGAGTTCTGGACAGCCTCCGTATTAACCTGCCTCAAAATCTCATCATACCAGCTAGGGAAAAGTTCTCCCTATGGAAAAATGTTGCTTTGACCCTTGAGAAGGGGAAGGAAGCACCACAAAGAGACAGCAAGTCCTGCATATGTGCATCTCTGATGTGGATATAACCTTGCTGTTTTTCATCAGATGATTGTAAATTATTTTCCTACTGATTTATTAAAAATGTATGTCTTCTTTGGCTAATTCACAAAAAATTAAACATTAATATTTGATTAATATTATTTATACCTATGGAAAATCAATAGAACACTGGAAAGAAAGAAAGATGCTTAAAAGCAGATTGTTTTAAAATATGTTTGTTCTTACTTGTTGCAGTTTCTCAAAAAGACATTTGATAAGAAACTTCAGAGTGAATAGCATGGTGCTTTGTTCTAAGCTCTGTCCTGGGTAACCATGCACAAAACATTCATCTCAGGTTCAGTTTTTTTTTTAAGGTTTTAAAAGAGACAGAAATAGATATCCTTTCCTACATTATCATCCTGTGAGCCTATATGTTCAGGATAAAGGAAACCTAGTATATCTCTAGATGCAACATGTGATGGATATGGCATGAGAGTGACTCCGAATCTAGAAAGAGACAAATTTCAAGAAAATGGGGGCTCTATGAGGAGGATAACAGACATAATTCCCTCAGCTCTGGTGGCTATGCCTTCCTTGGATACCATGGAGAAAAGCCTTCTAGCAACATGGCTTTTCCTGTGCAGCCTGACAGTCACCCAACCCTCTAACCCCAGCTCACCACCTTTTGCACGCTGGTCCACAGAGTTCATTGTCACACAGTCTGTGATGGTTTCTGGATGTGGCGACATCACCACGTCTGGCTCTCTCTGGGTCAGGGGATTAAGAACTGCTTCTGTCTGGTTCTACTTGTTGGTTGGGAGAAAAAAATGAACTGCTTCTGGTGCAACAGGACCTGCTTTCTGGGTTCTTCTCCATCTGTTCTGAAGCTCTGGTGAGGTCTCTGTCAAAGGTCTCTGTTCTTCCAGATGGCACTCCTGTCCCTGGGCTGCCTCCTCCCTGGCACACGAAGAGCTCCTTTGAACCAGAGAAGCTGGGACTTAGGCTTGGGTAAGAAACTCATTTTAGATGAAACTTTCATGGAAAGCAGTGTTCTCCACCTCAGCAGTGTTGACATTTTGGGCTGGATAATTCTATGTCATAGGAAGCTGTTCTGTACATCACAGGATGTTTAGCAGCATTTCTAAACATCCACTAAACACTAGTGCATTTCTTCTCCTAGTTGTGACAATCAAAAATGTCTCGACATTTCCAAAGTTCCCTGGGAAGCAAAATCATCCTTGTTGAGAACCACTGACATAGGGTCTGAACCTGATTCTCTGGGAATTCATTAGATCTGTCCTATTCATTACATTAGCCACTAGTCACATTAACTACTGTGCACTTGAAATGCGGCAGTGCCACATGCTGAAATAACATTTTGGTATATATTGAGAAAAAGAGTATGTCCTTAAAATTAATTTCACATTTTTTTTTTTATTTGAACGTAGTTACTAGTACATTTAAACTATATAGAAGGCTCACCCTAGAATATCAGACTGTGCCTTTTGAAGATAAAGACACCCTGGACAGTGCAGGAAGTGGCAGGAGCCTCATTCTGACCCAAAGGCTCTGGAGATGTGCCAGAAATCCCAGAACGAACATACTTGCCATATAGTAAGATCACAGTTCTAGGGATTTGGGGACCAGTCACTCAGCTAGTGTTGTGAAGGCTGCGATGCTGAGTTAGACAGGTAGGATATTAGAAACAGCGTGATCTGGGGAGTAAACCATGTCTATATTTGCGTCCTAGCTCCCTTACCCTTTGTGACCTTTGTTCTATCATTTCACCCCTCATTCTTCCTCTTCCCCTTCTTTTTGAGATAGAGTCTCCCCTTCTTTTTGAGATAGAGTCTAGCTCTGTCGCTGTGGCTAGAGTGCAGTAGCATCACCATAGCTCTCTTGAACCCCTGAGCTCCAGCGATCCTCCCGCCTCTGCCTCCCTCATTCTTCTTTTCTGATGATATAGTTATGCCTTCAAATAGGGTGGCTGTGAGAATTAAACGAAAGGAACCAAGTGTCCTCCAAATATGACAGGAGCTAACTAACATTTACCTGTTGCTTATTAACTAGCACTTGGCTCAATGCTTTACAGGTAATGAACAGGAGCTGAACAACGCCATGAAGCAAGCCTTTACCAACCCAATTTTCAGGTGCCCAAGTGACAGAGCCAAAATTTACCGAGTCCTTCTAGCTCCTAAGCTCGGGCTCTCACCGCAGACCACGGGCCGCGCGCTCCGTGGCAGGTTCTCGGTTAAACGATGAACGTGCGTTCCCGTCCCGCCGCCGGCGTGGGACTTCCCGCGTCCGGCTGCGCTCCGGCGCCCACACCCGGGCCCGCACCCCGCACCTTTCGACAAGGACTCGGCACCAACTCCGCCCTGGACCCGGCCTTTCTAAGGCAGAGGTCCGGGACTAGCTCGGGCACCAGCGACTGGGGTAGGGCCGGTCTCCCTGGGGGAGTTCCGGGACGCCCATTCCCGCCCCTCAGACACAAGCCCGCCCCTCTATTCCGGTCCGCAAGCCCTGCGAAGCCTCGGCGTCCCAGCAAGCTCACCTGAGGTGCGAACCGCGGGCACCCTTAACGCCGCAGAGGGTGGAAGCAGGAAAATAGAGCCGACTGCGCATGCGCAGGGGAAAGCGCAGATATTCGTTCCCAGAATGCTGCGCGAGAACTCATAAAATTCAAGACTACATTTCCCAGTAAACACCGCGCCTGCGTGATGCGCTTTGGCAGGGGTTGTGGAGGTGTGCGTGCGTGTTTGATTTGGAAGATTTAGGGAATGATAGCGTGTTATTGACAGTCTGTCCTGAAAACTAGAGCCCAGGTCTGTGAGGGGCCCAGCTATATGACATAAGAGCAAATGCAACGTATGGGCCTCGATCGGAAAACAAGAGCTGCAGAAACATTTGGGAGCAATTGGGGAAATTTGTATATGCACTGGACGATAGAAAATGTTAAAAGTAATTGTGGTAACATTGAGATTATGTAGATAATTTTACTTTTTTTTTTTAGAGATGCATATTAAAGTGTTTAGGATTGTATTATATATTTGCAAGTTCCTTGTAAAAATAAGAATTAGAAATGGCAGATATGGCAAAATGTAAAGAACTTTGGAACCATTAGAACTTGAATGTTTATTATAGTCTTCTTTTTACGTGTTTGCAAATTTTGTAATATCAAGCTTATAGAAGTAAAAATTTGGACTGTCACTTCCCAAGTATGCCTTTTAACTGAGAGATGCCAAGAGTATATGTAAATGGCTCTGTGAATAAAGTCGTAAAACAAATACTAGAAAATGGAATCCATTATTAACATGTTTGAGCTGGAATCCACAGGACCGGGGGACAGAGAGAGTCACCAAGGCTGTAATTATCTAAGGAGTTTTATTGTCTAGCCCGGGCTAGGGTCCAAGCCCAAGAGCAGCAGCACAGTGGCCTCTTGTTCAGGCAGTGAGCACCGCACGGTGTGGGAGTGAGCTTTTTATACTTAAAGCTCATAAGCTGTTCATGCAACACATCTGCCCTCTACAGTGATTGGTGAGCCCCCTATCCGCCATCTTTCCCCAGCCTCTTATTTCACCCTGCCCCTGATTGGTTCTAACCTCTTCCGGTTCCTAGCCGAGAGGCCCCTATGTCAGTGCTTTTCCTTTGCATCTTATTCCAACCAATAATGCCCTGCGGTTAGCTGCGGTAGGCAAAGCAAGCAGTAAACAGAAACTAGAAGACGGCTGTTAGCCTAATGGCCCAGTATCTTACAAACATAAAAGTATAACTGTTATTCTCAGAGTTTGTCTCTGGGGAAAAAAAAGAAAAGAAAAGAAAAAGCAAGTAAGCTGTTCAATATCAGGTAATACCTGAAAGTACATACAATCCCCAATAAGAAAACGATTATCATGCAAATTATGCACCTCCAAGAGATGAACTTGCTTAAAGCTTATGTGTACACACTTCTGAAATTAGGACCCATTATCAGGAACCTCTGAGCACAATATTTTATAACACCCTTTTAACTAATACACACTTTTCTTGGTTGATATTTTATAACTTGGTTTATATTTATATTATATGCCAATGATAAAAAAGATAAAAAATAAGTTGTGATTAGTAAGAAAAAAATGATTAATTCTACCAGTAAATTAGCGCAATTTATGTGAATTAAGGAATAAAACTTTACTGTCGACACTGAAAAAACTTAAATAGATACTGGAGGAAAAAAACTAAAATTTATTTTTAATAATGCCAATCAGCATTATAAGTTTTCTATTCGTGTTTTTTCTTTTTGACATTTATATATTTTGTTTGTTAATCTAAAGGAACTATACCAACTTTTATCTGAATGAGAACTTATAGTAATGATCAGAAAAGAACTGAAAATACATAGCAATATATCTATACTTAACATATATACTATTGTTAAAATGTTTAAAATTTTAACCTGGTGCAGTAAAAGTTCAACCCCAGAAAAAGAGAAAATGAGAGTGTACATTTCAGAGTGGGCTTTTAAAGTAGTGGAAAGAGAACATTCAGTAACCTCGTGAGAATGAGATAGGCGCTCGAACAAAGGACATACCCACGGCGCTAAAGTTACAATTAATAATTTTCACAGGGATTCAAACTACAAGGGGCTGCAGGTGTAGATGCATCACCACCACAGTAACTAATAAATGTTTACAGAGAGATATTTCGAGGCCATAAAACATCCTGTTTCTCCTTAACGTATCACCCACTGATTTAGTAGGGTTAATTCATCTACTTGTTGAAAGGTAGCTGGTGGTTTCCAATTTTTGACAAATATTAATAAAGCCATTATAATGTAACATTCACATATACAAGTTTTTGTGTGAAAGTAAATTTTCAATTGAATTAAAACAATCTTTTCTTCTTTGAATTGGCTTATATGTCTATTCTTTTGCAGATACACTGTTTGGATTACTCTAACTTTATAGAAAGCCTGGAAATCTCTTAGTGTAAATCCTCCAATTTTGTTATTTTCCAGAATGGTTTTGGCCATTCTAGTTCCTTTTCCTTTCCATGTAAATTTTAGAATTAGTCTATCAATATCTATAAAAATATGATTGTTGAGATTTGGAAGAACTGGCATCTTAACAATATTGAGTCTTTCAATTCATGAAAATAGTATACTCTATATAATTCTTCTTTGATTTCTTTCATCTGTATTTTGTAATTTTTAGCATATATATAGATCTTGCATATATTTTGATAGATTTGTACATAGGTCTTTCATTCTTTCTTTTTTTGTTACTGTAAATAGATTTTTAAAAATTGCCAAATTCCAGTTCATTGCTACAATAGGAATGGGACTGAATTTTGTACATTGACCTTTTATCCTGCAAACTTACTAAACTTGCTTATTAGTTAAAACAGCTTTTTTGGGGGGGTTCTTTTTTAGAGATGGGGTCTCATGCTCTCATCTGGCTGGAGTGCAGTGGGTGCAATCATAGCTCACTACGGCCTTGGACTTCTGGACTCAAGCAATCCTTCCATCTCAGCCTCCCTAGTCGCCGAGATATTTGGTATTTTCTACATATACATCATTTTGTCTGAAAATAGGGACAATTTTGTTTCTTCCTTTCCAGACTATATGACTTTTATTTCTTTCTGTTGCCTTAATTCACTGGCTAGGACTTATAGGATGATGTTGAGTAGGAGTACTAAGAGATCATCGCTGTCTTAGCCTGTTTTGTGCTGCTATAACAATACCTGAAACTGGGTAAAGAACAGAAATTTGTTTTTCAGTTTTGGAGCCTGAGAAGTCAAAGATCAAGGTATTAGCAGGTTTGCTTTGGGTTAAGATCTGCATCACTGCTTCTGAGATGGCACCCTGAATGTATCCCTGGGCTTGGGGAGGGACCACTGTTCCTCATGGCAAAAGAATGAAAGGGTCAACATTGTCCTTTTATAACCATACCAATTCCATGCATGAATGTGCATGGCCTAATCACCTCTCAAAGGCTCGACCTCTTGATACTGTTACAATGGCAATTAAATTTTAACATGAGTTTTAGAGGGGACAAACATTGACACCATAGCAAATGCCTCATTCTATTCTTAGAAATTATTTAATCTCTCACCATTGAGTGTGAGGTGTTTATAAATACCCTAAAAAGTTCCCTTCTATTTTTAGTTTGCCAAGAGTTTTTATAATAAATATATATTGAATTGTATCAAATACTTGTCCTGCAGCTACTGACATGATAATACGGCTGTTTTATTTAGTCTATTAATATTGTGAATCACATTTATTAACATTTTTTGTTGTGGTGGTAAAATACACAAAACATAAAACAATTTTAATCATTTGTGAGTGTACGATTCAGTGGCATAAATAAGATTAACACTGTTGTGTGACCATCAACACTATCCATGTCCAGAACCTTTCATCACCCCAAACTCAAATTGTACCCATTAAACAAATCTCTATTCCTGCCACCACCAGCCCATCTGTAACTACTATTCTACCTATTTTCAATACAAATTTGACTATTAAAGGTACCTCATTAATGTAGAATCATATAGCATTTGTCCTTTTGTGTCTAGCTTATTCCCCTAAGCATAATGCCTTCAAGGATTATCCATGTTGTATTATGTATCAGAGTTTCATTTTGTTTTAAGAGTGAATAATATTCCATAATATGTATGTACATTTTGTTTACTCACTCATCTGTCAATGAACATTTGGATTGTTTCCATCTTTGGACTATTATGAATAATGCTGCTATGTCTCCTGCAGGGCCGGAATGGCAGAGGTTTCCTTCATGAATAATGCTGCTATGAGCATGAGTGTAAAAATGTTTGTTTGAGTCCCTGCTTTCAATTATTTGGGGTATAGACCTAGGAATGGCATTGCTGGATCATATGGTAATTCTATTTTTAATTTTCTGAGGAACCACTATACTGTTTTCCACCATGACCACACCATTTTATATCCTACCAGGAATGTGCAAGAGTTTCAATTTCTACACATTTTCATCAACTTATTATTTTATGTTTTAAAATATTAATTTTTATGATAGCCATACTAATGGGTACAAAGTGGTATCTTGTGGTTTTCATTTCCATTTACTTAATGATTAGTGATATCACTTTAAAATACAGTGTATTACAGAAGTTTGAGGTATAGGAAGGCCAGTAGATTAGGAGATGACAACCACTGAAAAGATAGTCTATGACGTAGAAGAAGGGTCACACCACATCATGGGAGTCCATACAGGGAAGCACCAGGATCAGTCAGGAGCAGAGAGAGAGAAGGGAACTTTGGGCAAGAGCCTTTACTGTGGTTTCTGTGGAAAGGAATGGACAAGACGGGGTGCACAGGCTTAGGATTGGCTAGTGTGGATACTTTCATAAGGCTCTGGGGCAGAGGGACTACTCCTAATTGTCTGGCACCTTACCCTGAGGTGATCAGTGCAGGGGCTAGTGGCTCAGAATATGATAGCCTAGGGTGTTTGGGGTGTGGTTCTAGATTGGTTGGTTTATATTTGAAAAGTGTCCTCATGGTCAAGTTGTTTACTATTTTAAAAAATCGTCTAGTCCTGGGAGGACAGTCCCTTCAAGATCAGCAAGGCCACAGATGTGAATGCATCTAGATACAGGAAATAAAAGGGATGGTTAATACAGATGTCAAGCATCTTTTTATGTGCTTATTGGCTGTTTGTATATCTTCTTTGGAGTAATGTCTATTCAAGTCCTCTGCCCATTTTTGAATTAAGTTGTTTTCTTTTTTATTGTTGAGTTGTAGGAATTCTTTATAAATGCTGGAATTCTTTATATATGCTGGATTTTTAATTCCTTATATATTTGCAAATATTTTTTCCCATTTTGCATGCTGCCTCTTCACACTCTTGGTAGTGTTCTTTAATGCACAAGAGTTTGCTTTTGTTTAAACTTATTTGCTTTTTTCCTCTGTTGCCTGTGCTTTTGGTGTCATATGCAAGAAATCACTGCCA